TCATCATCAGCAGCAGGACGTGCACTATCTGGTGCTCCACTAAGTTCTGGAATGGCAGCATGAGGAACAGGCTCGGGCTTCCGGGATCTCATACCTGGAACCAACCTGCCACCAAGACTGCCGAGACCGTACTTATAGGGCTTGCCTTGGAACTCCTTTAGCACCTGCTTGTTCCACTGCTGGTCGGATGGCAACCTTCTGATAGTACTACTGAGGTACACACCAAGAGCCGTCCCACAAACGTTGAGGTCATTAGCCGGAACCTTGCCGAGGAAGACTCCTCGAACAAAGCGTGGCTTACCCTTCTTGATGTGCGGTGTCGCCAAAGAGAAGTACACACACTCACCGAACATAGCAAGCTTGCCTTGATACTTGACGCCGAACGCCCTCTCGAAGGGAGTAGTGCCACCTGCAACGGAGTAGCAGTTGTGAAGATGCCCCGCATGAGAGAAAGCCCATCCAACAAGGTCGTCGGTGGTCCTGAGCTCCAAACCTGACTTGGTCCGAACTTGTTCAAGCAAAGTGATCCCCAAGTCGCGCAATGTCTGAACAGCCTGTTCAGCTGCTCCATTGGTTGCATGTTCATAGGGTTGACTAGGCTTCGACAGCGTTCTCAATCCAACCTTCGCTCTGGCCTGAACAACCATTGTGGTGAGGGACTCCATGGCGGGCTCATTATCCGAGCGAACCTCGATGGTTTGGTAACCCAGGTAGGCAACAAAGCTGATGATTTCTTTGGCTGCATGAACAAGAGAATCATGGCCTTTCGAGGGTAGAGGTACACCACGGCACATACCAGTGGACCTGTCAACAACTGAGAGCACCGTAAGAACTTCTTGATCATCTGAGGGGGACTGCTCCATGAAGTGATACTCACTGCCTGTGATCTTGGCATACCAGAGGTCGTACGCAATGCAAGGGAAACCTCCTTGAGACACATGACTCTCCCCTCCTTGCTGATGCCGATCTTTACGTGAACGACAAGAGACACAGTAAGGACACCAACTCTTAAAAGGGATGTGTGTCAGCTCATGCAAAGCTACCTCCTCATCAGAAGGAGTAGGCGGAGTAGATTGGGCTCGAGGTTGATGTTCCGGAGGCTTTGCAGCTTGTTCCAATGACAAGGAGTCCTCAAAGTGTCTGCGCTTCATGTGTCCGAGCAACCGTGAGAAGAGTTGAGCCTTTGATCCGGATGTCCCGATGCCAAGCGAACGGCATGCAGCCTTCAAGGCAGCAGATGTCGATGTAGGCCCGAGTCTAACCCCTTCGATCTCAACATGATCGTCACCTGGTCCTCGAAGCATAACACCAGGAGGAGCAGCACGAGCTTCAGGTGGCGGCTGATCCTCTTGTTGTTCCATCGGAAGATCAATTACTTCAGGAGGCTGGGGCACTTGAGGAGGTACTGGGGGCTCGGCCTTAAACTCACCCTTGATTTCGATGCCACACTGCTCGAAGGTGACATCCTTCCGGTGCATGATGGTCAAGATGGGCACTGGCATTATCACTCCGGGCAGCAACTCCTCCAATGACTCGCAATGATCCAGAGGTTCCTGGAAGTCGCACAGCTCCCACTGATCTCCAATCTTGATGCATGTAGTGCGGAACTTCCAAAGCTGAATGCCCATCTTAGGAGAAGGATCTACATATGTCATGCCGGTTGTGAGAATTGCCGGATCCCCACTGTCTAAGAAACCCCACTGACCATCAACATGATCAACCGGAAAGTTGAACTTCACCTGCACTCGCTCTGCCCCGACTGGTCGCACTTCATCTTGAGCATCCGGGGCCTCGACCATGTGCACGCTTGCGTAGACGACCAAGCTGTTGCGCTTGAATGAAATCGGGATCTCAACCTCCTCTGCGGTGTTGCACAGACAAAGATTACCCTGGCGTTGTTCAACAGACCAGCCCTGCCTAAGCATCCGTCCTAGCGACATCAAAGGAGTGGAGACTGCTGAAGCGTAAAACTGCTCCTGGATGCAAGCTGGTCCGAGGTCAAGAGTTACCACTCGTGACCCCTTACAAGGCATAGCATTGCCTTGAGCATCCTGCATGCGCACACGGCAATCAGCAGCATGACCATAACCGCGCCCTAGCCAGTCAGCTGGCATCACTGAAACATCGGCTCCACTGTCAAGCACAATCTCACAGTAGCTGGAATCATGATCCCAGGGACCCTGCGCCTCATGAGGTTGGCTCACCCCGCGCACCAGCCAATCGAGATCGCTAGGGTACGTGTCTGTAGTGGTCATGTCATGAACTGTGTACGTGTTGATCTCACAGTCAAGCACTTCATCCTCTTGCTCAGACAACTCAAAGCACTCCACAACCCTACACCACCAAGAATCCACACTCTCTCTCCCTCGGACTCGTCTTCAGCAATAGAATAGATAGTAGTTGAAGGAACATGCTCATCAGCCATGAGGTTGAACACGCGCTTCACTGAGGCTGCCGTAGAGGGACTGGACACAGAACTGGCTGAGGAACTGGGGACTGTGGTGGCGCACTCCTCCGACACGTTCTGCACACGGCCCTTGTTCATCCAGCATTCATTTCCCCAATGTCCCGGCTTACCACAAATTCGGCATGTATTTGGATCTTTGGTCTTGCCCTTGCCTTTCTTGCCTTTCCCTTTGTCGCCCTTGTTGTCGTTGCTCTTGTTGTGGTAGCCCTTGTCCTTTCCTTTGTTGTTCGACCAACCGCTGGAATGGTTCCAACCACCCTTGTTCGACCATCCCCCTTTCCCGGACTGTGGGTAGTAGCCATAGCCTTTGCCAGACTTGCCGCCAGATTTCCCTTTGTCACCCTTGTTGTTGCCCTTGTTGTGGTAGCCTTTGCCTTTATCCTTGCCCTTGACTCTGTCCAACTCCATTGGCCCACCAGTGTCTGTAGAGGGCGAGGTCTGATTCACAAGGGTTTGGGTCCACTTCTGAGTGTTGCGCTCCCACCGAACAACAGTTTCACGAAGGGTCTCATAGGTGCAGTTCTCGTTGCATGTCATGGAAACATGTGTCTTCACAGATTGCGGCAGAGATCTCAAAAGAAGTGCACTCTTCAACTCTGCGGGAACCTCAGCACCTGCAGCTTGACTATACTTCCGAAAGAGTTCTTCAAGACGTAGCAGTTGTTCAAGCACGTTCGTAGTACTCATAGCAGGAAACTGAGTGATAGCTCCAAGCAGTGCCAACGACCTTGACTTAGATGCTGGGGCTAGCGTCGTCGTCAAAAGTCGCCATGCTTCGAAGCCGTTCCCCTGCTCTGCCGAGCGAAGAAGCTGAAGAGGTCTCTCACGCAGTAGCGTAGTCAATAGCGCATACAGTTTCCTAGCTTGGTTTTGAACTTCTGGAGTCATGTTACCAAGAAGACATTCTTTACCAAGTGCACCTTCAACTTCATCGATAGTGTTAGACATGTCACCGTCAATGGCACGGAGGTACTGCTTAAACTGCCAAGCCCATTCTGGAAAACCGCTGATCTCCTCATCTCGGGACTGGGGCTTGAAAATGTCTGGCCGAGGAAGAAGCCGACTCCAAGCATTCGCCTCCCCACGATCCCCTGCACGAGAGGTCACCACCTCAAGAGTCCTCCCAAGAACTCTCAACTGCTCCTGGGTTTGATACCCCAATGTTCTCACCTGTTCTTGGCTCTGATGAACCATCTGACCTAGGATTTCCATCGTCTGAAGGTTGGTAGCCGCAGGGGACCCTGGCTCACTCGCTGCAAAAGGATTTTGAGCTTGTTGAGGCTGGGGTCCATGCTCGGGAAGGGTAGGATCCATTGTTTCGGCTGTTGTTCAAGCAAACACAAGCACTGAAGAAGAAAATCGATCAATCAAGGTCAATCGCGGTCGCAGCAGGCTTCAGCTCAACAGAAAACTTTGGGATTGGGGCCGAAGATTCTGCAACTGTCGACAAAGAAGAAAACGCTGGGGAATTCGTCTGTTCGAACAACTCCAAGTCTTTGTGGAAATTCGAGTGCTCTTCCGAAGCGAACACAAAGTTGTGCACCGTCTCAGCCGGTAATGCGTACTCACTGATATCCTCGACACAGAAGCTCCAGTAAACTTCACGTAGATGCTGGTCTTTGATACACCGAAGAGCAAAAGCGTGGATCTCGTCCACTCTGTTCAATGCAGCTAGTCGATGCTCAAGAGCGTCCTGAGAAGTTTTCAGGATACGCGTCCAGCCTTGTCCAGTGCGCCCCTGTGGTTTCTGTCGCTCAAAAAGCTGTTCAAGGTAGAGCTCCCTCACACGCTGCTTCAGCGCGTCGGCGCTGGCCGCAGTAGCCGTAGAGACCGAAGAACTGGCCGCCAACGACGGCACACGAGGATATGAGGGATAAGAGGCTCACACACTTGGGGGGCACTACAAATACACCTACACCACACACACACAGGGATCAGGGTCCTGTCCCACACACTCGGAGCTCTGGTACCTCAAAGGGTGGACCGTCTGAGCTCCGCTACCATGCGAAACTTTCTCACTCCAAAGCTTTAACGCCTGCAGAGTCGTTGGTCTTTGGTCACTTGTGCATGCATATTGCATACAGCTGTACTGGTACAAAAGAGGTACGTACGTGTACATATATGTTTTGCAGGATCACCCCGATCATGGTTTGATTGTCGTCATAAAAGACGAAATTGGGATCCTGACCCCCCAATTGTTGCCACAATGTAATAGCGGGCAATCCAAGACGAGCCATAGCAAAGTCGGCCGCGACGATCTCGGCCTCAGGTGTGGAG